AGAATAAAACACACTTAAATATGTAAAGTGCTTAGCACTGTGGTGCAGAGTGGTGGAAGGAACAGCTCTACTCCCATGAACAGGGCCTGTAGCTATTTCTGGTATCTCCTTTTCCCTCCCCCAGGTCACCAGCCATCCAGGACTAACTGACCAGGACCCCAACTGTACCTGTAGAGGGCAAGACTTACCTTCCCATGATTTAAAGGATATGATTGGGTGTGAGGCGCTGTGGTGGAACCTTCCTTTTGGAGGGATCCTTTAGCAGAGACAGGATACTTTCCCCCGTCCTGGGGAGAAGCCATTCAAACATTTATCAAGCCTCCATCCTAGGGCAAACTCTAGATTCACCCACATGAACTCAACATCTCCTCCAAGCAGGCCCTTCATCCTTCCCCCAACTCTGCCCATGACACTGCTCCCCTTTCTCACCTGTGCCACCTGCAGAAGGCAAAGAGAAAGAGCAGGGCGAGGTGGGCGGCCAACAGTGCCAGGTGGAAGGCGCGATGCAAGAAGAGGGCCTCAGGGAGGAAGCGCCAGTTCACTGTCCAGCGGAAGAGAAACTGGCGGCCAAGATCAAAGGAGCGGGATAGGTAGCCAGTGGGGTTCTCCAGCAGGAAGGGCAGCCCCAGCAGCACCTGAGGGTAGGTGTGATGTCAGCAGAGGTGCCCAGGCTCAAGCTGAGCCTTCATACTAATCATCAAGGGGAGTGGACAGAGTGCGTAGGTCTCAGAGGTTCTCAAATTCCTCCAGGAATAGCAGGAAAGCCAGCCTCCACATCCAGGCCAGAGCCTGGGGCCAAAGAAGCTGAGAAGGCAGGTAGTAACAGTCCTTTAAGTTTGGACTCACCACATCATAAATGGGCAGAATCAGAGGGGCGCCTGCGTGGCTCAGTTGGTTGGGCGACTGCCTTCGGCTCAGGTCATGATCCTGGAGTCCCGGGATCGAGTCCCGCATCGGGCTCCCTGCTCAGTGGGGAGTCTGCTTCTCCCTCTGACCCTACCCCCTCTCGTGCTCTATCTCATTCTCTCTCTCAAATAAATAAATAAATAAAATCTTTAAAAAATAAAAATTAAAAAAAATGGGCAGAATCAGAGAAACCCTCAGAAACCATCTAGTTCAACACCCTTATTTTACAGCTAATAAAAGGAAAGCCCAGAATCAACTCCCAAACCCTGTCTGTTAGCTTTGAGGAAGTCTCAACGATGGAAGGAGGCCAGAGAGTAGCCTTCCCTTCATTAGGAAGGGGAAGGTAGTGGGGGTACCTGAAGGACAGCACAGATGCCCAACTTGGGGAGGGCTCCACGGAAGCCAAATTGCATGAGGAGAAGAAATAGCAACCCAGGGGCGAAGAGTAGCACATTCATCTTCACAGAGACTGCCAGGCTGGGGTAGGTAAGGGAGATGAAGGGGGGAGATCAGCTCCAGGGCCATTTACCCCACCCAAAGATGCATCTCCCCTCGACATACACCAGCAACTCCTCCCCTCCCCTGCCAGCAAGCTCCAGGATGGGGCCCACACTCAGAATGGCTGGAAGGAGGGTAAAGCAGCAGGGAGGAGGCTGAGGGCAGGGGGCAGATACCAAGTCTCTATGCTCAGACTGGGCCAGCAAATACATATTTACAGTATTTAGAATGTGCAAGGACCAACTCCAACAATAGATGCCGTCTAGAAGGAAGGGTAGGGGGTGTGTGTGTTTGGGGGGTGGGGGCAGAGACTGTCTACAGATCCTAGACTTGTCTAGTGGGGCCCTGACTGACCCATATTGTCTGGTTACTCCCTTACTTCCTCTGCTGCAGGCAACTGGGGGAGGAAATGATGGAAATACAGAATGAGAGAGGGGGAGGGGGGAGAAGGGAGGGGTGCTGACCTGAAACAGCAGCAGCCCCAGCCCCAGCGCCGAGCCAGCAGGAGGTTGATACTGAGGAAAAGCAGCGCCATGGCCACCGGGTCATTGAAGAGCCGCAGCACGAAGATGGAGTGGACACGGTAAGAGGCGCAGCACATGAAGAAAAAGACGAAGGGAGGTACCTGAGAGGTGGGCACAGTGGGGAACAAGGTCAGCTCACCAACCCTGAGCCATCCCTACTCCCCAGCCCTGCCAGTTGGGGCCTCCTGCTCCCGGTAGCATGGACTCACCTTGCAGGTCTGGTGGTAGATCAAGAAGACAAGCAGCAAGGTGGCCAGGTAGAGCACAGCAAAGATGTGCTGGGCCATGCGGATGTCAGTGCCCCGGCCAGTGGCATAATATAGCCCCATAAAGATGTACACAAAGCCGGCTGGGTACCTGGAAGAGGAGTCTGGGTCAGGCTACCCAGCCTGGTATCCAGGCAGCCCCTCAGGTCCTCATTGAACCCCTTACCATCACTCACACAAGAGGTCCAGTGTCACCCTGCAGTTGGGTGTAGTCATAGGTGCCGTTGATGACACCCTCCACCTGGGCCATGTAGGCCTTCCAGTCAATCTCTGTATCTGGAAAAGGACAGGACGGTGTGGTTACTTCCAAGTTCAGAACCTGTCTGCCTCCCCCCCCCACACACACACCTCCAGCCCCTCAAAACACAGAGTTCCAGCTCTTTCCCAGGACTTCTATCACAACCCTTTATCTCACTGCTCATCTGGCATTCTCTGGGTGAACCCAAGCATCTCAAATTCAACATGTCTGTAATTGAACTCAAACCGTCCACTCTAAATCTGCTCTCCTTCCTGGGTTTCATGAATGGCACCATCAGCCTCCCAGCTGCCCAGGTCACAAACCTGGGTAACATCTTTGACACTTACTTCTTTCTCGTTTCCAACACCCAGTCACCAAATCCTGCCTATTCTTCATCCTAAATAACTCCACTATCTCTCATCCTTTTCTGCTCTTACATACTAATATTCAGACCTAACATAATCTCTAGCCTCAATGATGCAACAGTTTCCTAATTAGTTTCCCAGCTTCCACTTTTACCTCACTACAATATATTTCCCACCTCTGCAACCAGAGAGCTCTTTCTATAATAGAAATCATGTCAGATCTCTCTGCTTAAAACCCTTCACTGATTCCTCAAGGCTCCTAAGATAAAAACCAAATCACATTATTCCCAATTTTAGAAGAGGAACCTATGAATTAATGAGGTTAAGTGACTAATTCAAGATCAGTGAGCTAAGAAGGGTAAAGCTGAGATTGGAACTCCGTGAGGTCCTAAATTCTTAACCACCATGCTAATTATCTCCTTAACACAACTGACAGACTGCTTCACAATCTGGTCTCAACTTCTGCAATCTCATCTCTCACTGCTACCCTCACTTGAATTCTGTTCCAGCTCTAAAAAAAAATTCAGTTCCTCAAAGGAAGCAGACTCTCTTTTGACTGGAAGTTTTTAGTTACAGGATTCTCTACCTAGAGTGCTCTTTCTCCTCTCCTTTTCTCTCTTTCCTCAATTGGCTCGCTCTTACCTTTCAACGGGGACTCAAGTCTGGCTTAAGTGCCCTCCTGTGTCCTTTATGGCTCCCTGTCTTCCTACTATCATGATGAATCTGATCCACTATCATTTTCTACTAACTTCTTTTTGTCCAGGCCCATACACCCAAATAGAAAATGTGTCTATTTTTTCACCACTGTACCCCTGGCACCTAGCACAGTGTTAAGCATATAATAAACATTCAATAAATATGTGTTACATTAATCATCTTTAGCAAGAAAGCCTTAAGCCCAGTGGCTAGATTCAGGCTGGAAAGGAGCTCCCAATAATACCCAAAGGACTCAAGTGGTCACAAAATGACATTGTTGACAAGAGAACTTTGAGACCTCAGAATTGAACAGATGAGACAATTTGGATCCAGCAGGGGAAGGGACATGTCCAAAGCCAAGAGACAAGAAGGAGCAGTAGTACATTAACTCGGACCCAGGTCTTTTGATTTCCAGGCTAGTTTATGTTCTTAGCCTGGCAGGCTGTATGGTCAGAGCAGAGGGCCAATCTCTAGGGTCGCCCCTTCCATCATCGGGGAGGGATTAAGACAGGGTTTGGTTTTATGGAGCAGGCTTTGGACGTGGGTAAAAATTATCGTCTGCAATTGATGACTGATTGGATCTGGATTTCAGTTCCGAATCTGGGTCCCAGTTTGGGTAGGGGGTTCGGGTCCCCCTCCCTCCCCTCCCCCCTCCCCTCCTCCTCGGCGCACTCACATGCCACCCTGTGAATGACCCAGAAGGTGATGCCCACCTCCGCCAGGCAGAGGCAGGCGGCCACCAGCAGCGTGTAGCGCGGCTCCAGCAGCAATAGGCGCCGCTCTTGCCAGGCGCGCCGCAGCCATTGTCCGCAGAGTCCCGCAGCCCGGGATGCCGTACCCGCCCGGCCGCGTTTCCGTAGGCCCGCCGCCATCTTGACGGTGCGCCGCTCCTGTTGACCCCCCACCCCGGAAGCCCGGCCCCTCAGCACTTAAGTTCCGCTCCCCGCGCCGGCTGTCCCAACCGACTGATCGCTGTCCGGTTTCGTGTCCTATTTGCTCCACTTAAATTTACTTCTTCCACATCTTTTCTGATGCACTACACACTCCAGCCATGCAGGAATAGTTTTACTCCTCAGTACATACTTGGTTCTGAGCACGCAGGCGCTAAAGTAGATCGAACGTTTGCCCAGAAAAGCAACATTCCTGTTCGTGTTCTCCCTTGCCTGGCATCACACTTCGTCTGTGTTTCATGCCAGTCTCTCCTGGAGGGCAAGACCTGTGGCCGCGCCCCTCCTGCCTCCTCTGAGAGCCTTCCGCGTACTCAAAACTGGGTAGAAATGAATCTTTCATTAACTTTCAGACTTCTTAATGGAAGGAGCCGGCCAAACTGAAAATAAGCAGTGATGAGCCGAGTGAGTCTGACACTATGAGTTTGGCTCTCAGAAGTGGGGAGAAGTACAGTTGGAGGATTCAAGCTCTGAACGATAGGATTTTCCCACCCGGAGTATTCTTCAAAGAGCTCTCACCAGAGGACGGAAGTTCCACGTGTTTATGTTGAGCAACTGCAGGTGGTGGGCGGAGACACAAGGGCCACGCCTCCCGAATGATACCATCCCTATTGGCTACATGGAGCGCCAAGCCCGGTCCAAAGGTGCTGGCAGTGTGCCCTGCAGCTGCAAGCATGGCCTCTCCACGGGCCCGAGCCCCCCCGCCGGAGATACCAGAGCAGAACTGCAGGTACCGTGAGGTTCAGTACTGGGACCAGCGCTACCGGAATGCGGCTGACTCTGCCCCCTACGAGTGGTTCGGGGACTTCGCCTCCTTCCGTGCCCTCCTGGAGCCTGAGCTGCGGCCCGAAGACCGTATCCTCGTGCTAGGTGGGTAGTCCCGGCGCTCCCCAGCCCAGCTGGAGCGGGCTGGAGCCGCCCGGCCCTGTCCGCTGTCCTCGAGTCTGTTTGTCCCTCTCGGGAGCCAAGATCCAGTACTTTCAGAATCTCGGCAGGATTTAGCCAGGGCAACGGGAGCCAAGAGATTCTTAGTCCAAGCTCCCCCCGCCCCCCGCCCCCGGAGAAAGACAGTCTCTGAGTCTGAGTTTGTAGGTATCCTAGGACCCTGTTCCAGACCCTCGGGGAGACAGCCCCGAGCACTGGAGAGCTCAGAGGACCTAGTTCAAGTCCCAGTGCTAGTTGGCTGTATGACTTAGGACAAGTTGTGAACTCAGTTCTGAGCTTCAGAGTCACTTCTACAAATGGAACTGCGAGCTCAAGGCGGTTGAGGAACGTTCAGGCACCTCGAGCACGATGCCTAGCATTTACCTGTTAGCGCCATGGGGCACCGGAAGCCACTGTCACCTGGAGAGACCTCTCTCCACACTCCCAGCCCTACCTGAAACTTGGTCCTATGTCCCATGTGCAGTGAGAGCGAGGACAGCGCCCTCTGAGGTCGGAGGGGAGATTGCAGCCTAGCGTTTATCTGTTACCGCCATGGACACCGGAAGCCACTGTCACCTGGAGAGACCTCTCTCCACACTCCCAACCCTACGTGAAAACTTGGTCCTAGGTCCCCTGGGCAGTGAGGGCGAGGACAGTGCCCTCTGAGGTCGGAGGGGAGATTGCAGCCAAAATTGGTGGGATTCTCCACAGCGAAATGTACAAATGCAGGGGTGCAAGGTGGGGCTCTGAGAGGTCCAGCTGCACCCTGGGGTTCTCTCCCACCGCCAGCCTTGAGGGCTCCAGTGAAGTTTGAGCAACAGGTTTCTTTCTAATTTAGTTTTTATTTTGGTATTTGTAAAAGCATGTATATGTTTAAATGAAATATTTCATATATATGAGACATCTATAATACAGTATATGTGTAAAGTATAAATAATAAATCTAATGCGTTTGTATACCCTACTCAGTTTGAGAAATAGAACATTCCTAGGACTAGAAAGGACGTATAACCTAGTGCTTAAGAACTTGGACCCTGGAGGGAGTTAATTATGTTGAAATCTTCGCTTATGTAAACTTAGCTGTGGAATCATGGGCAAAAGCATAGAATCTTGGCTGTGCAATCATGGACAAAACACCTAAATTGCTGCACTTTCATTTTCTCGGCCTAAAAAAAATAAGAGTACTTATTTATTGGCTTTTTTAAATGATTGAGTATGAAAGATATCTGGGACAATGCCTAGCAAAATAAAAGGCCCCAGGTATATTCAAGGTTTTCTGTGTGGTCCCCCAAACCCCTTCTCCCCAGGGGTAAAAACTCTCTTGAATTGTGTGCTTTTAAACCATTGTATTTATTTATAAATTTACCATAGATCTATGTTTTTCAAGCTTTGGTGTCCATCAAAATCACCTGGAAAGGTGGACCCCACCCTGAGATTCTAATTCTAGGGATGGTCTCAGGTGGGCCTCGGGATTCTGTAGTTTCAACAGGTCCACAGCTGATTCTCATGCTGGTGATTGGCAGAATAACTGCCTTAAAATCTGCTTGACCGGGAGGTATCCTTTTCTGGATAGAGGGGAGAAAAATCTAAAAATCAGAGGAAAACTTTCCTGGCAAGATTCCCCAAATCTAAGAACAGGACTTATGACTTGGGAGTACCTTATGTTACATTCCACCTCAACAAATGTAAGTGGAGCACCTGGTAGGTGCTAGGGAGTGTGCTGGGCCCCTTCTAACTTATTTAGTCCTCATGACAACGCGTAGAGGTGAGTGATAGTTATTAGAAGACTTACTCTAGGTTAGGAGTTAGTAAACTTTTTCTGAAAATGGCCAAGTAGTAAATATCTTAGGCTTTGCAGGCTATTTAGTTTCTGTCACCACTACTCAGTACTGCTGTTATACTGGAAAAGCAGCCATAGACAATACATAAGTGGATGTCTTATGTACTGCTGTGTAGCAGTAAAACTTTATAAAAACAGGTGGCAAGCTGGATTTGGTTACCTTGCTCTAGGTCATTGTCTCAGGTTGGGTTCCCCAGAAGCAAATCCTAAGATGAAGATTCACGTCCCAGTCATTTATTAGGAAAGTGCTTGCAGGAGAAATTGGTAAGAGAGTGAGGGGACAGGGAAGTGGGAAAGGCCAAGCAGGATTGTGATCATAGGCAAAGCATCCCTGAGGGTAGTTTCAGCCCGAAGTGTCAGAGATGCAAAATGTCAGAAGCAAACAGGCCAGAACCTAGGAGCACTCCACGGGGATCGAATCAGGGCACTGACAGTGTCAACTGTCATGCAGCGGGTAAGTGGTGAAGGGTGCCATCTGGCTCCAGGGCTTCTATTTCTCTCGTTGCACAACACAGATGGGCATAGAGAGGCATCTGAACTCTGTTGAGACTGATAAAATGGCCACATTGTGAATGAAAGCCTAATGGTCATGCTGTTGTAGCTAAAGACGGAATGTCACTACCGAAGGTGAGTAGACCTCTTGAAAACTGGGAGACAGTTTAGCAGAGTGGTTTAAGAGCTTTGGTTCTGGTGTGAGACAGACCTGTATCCAAATTCTGGCTCTACCACTGATTGCGTGACCTTGGGAAAGTTCCTTATCCACTTTGGGCAGCCTCATTTTCCCCCCATCGAGAACATGGTAATAACAGTATCTTCTATATGGAGCTACCTTGAAGATAAACTGAGAGAATTCTTATAAAGTGATTAGCATAGAACCCAGTGTTCAGTGACTGTTAACTATCATTATTATTGAAAATAGGAGTCAGAGGGGCAGTTTATCCAGGACTGTCCAGAGAACAGAGTACCTTGCCTGAGGGCTTGTGTGTCTGGTACCTATGGCTGGAAGATCTTCATGGCAGATGCAGGCGTATGGCTGTCCCAGCTTTGCCAGTATCATGCAACTCTGATTCTCTCTCCTTGTTTGATTCTATGCTTCTGAGCCTAATCTGGCTTCAATTTGTATTTCCTATAGAAAGAGAAGGGACTGACCAAAGAGGATTGACAGCCTACTCAGTCCCTGTGATGGTTATTTTCCTATTATAAGTTAATGAATTGGCATTTTGGCTTACACATTTGTCTCTTGGTATTGGGATAGCAACCACATAGCTCTGGGCTCCCATGTAAGAGGTTCTTGGATGTGGCTCAGTTCTCCAGGGCTCTGCTTCCCTAAAGCTTCACCCAGGAAGGCAGTGACTTTCCCAAGACTCTTCTTAGTTGCTAGCCTCCAATTACTAAAGCAGCAGGATCAGAAATCACTGCTTTGTAAGCATGATTGGCTCTGTGGTCAGGTTTTGTTCTCACTTCATCCTTAGTAAAGTTCTCTTGGAAGCTGCCATTCCTGTACCAAGGGGAAAAAAGGAAGGAAATTTGGGTTTGTCCAGTTGGGCAGAGCTCTGAGGGCATATGAGGTCAGGTGTGGGATGGTGAAGGGATCGTGGGTCAGAGAACCCAGTGGAATTTCAACCTGAACTGACTTAGGGTCTCTTGTAAAGCCACCCTCACCTCTCAGCCCATGTGGTGTGTCTCCCCGGGCTTGTTATGGTTCCAGTGTGGAAAAACATGAACTGGGTTTTCCCAGGCAAGATAGTACTGTCCTTCAGCTGTAGGGCCTGAGGAGGAACACAGGAAGGGGCAGCCGAGGACCAGCCAGCAGCCTCTGGGTGCCCTGTCCAGGTGCCAAGCCCTACTAGATTAGGGCTATCCTAACAGCTGATCCTGTGATCCTCTTAGGGAGGCAAATGGGGATTAAAGGCAATCTAATCCCAAGAGCTGGGGATCACCTGTGGGGTCACCAGAACTGTCCTCCAGCTCCATTCCCAGGCTGAGACTGACCACAAGAGGGCCAGCATGCCTTCTTAGAAAGTCACACCTACTGTGTTGCGGATCCATATCCTGTCCTCTAATCTCCACTCCTTCTGTCACCATACTCTGCCCCCCGGGATGGCTTTCCTGGGACTTCCCACCAGAGTGTTAGGATCCTTCAAGACTCTGATTGGGTTGTCAACTTCCCTGAAAGCCTTGGCCGACCCACCAGAGGAGGGGACAGGAGCCATCCTGTGTGTTTTCACAGCCCATCCCTATTGAAACTCTCATCGCATTATGTGGCAATCACGTGAACACACTTTTCTTCCCACCAGAGCATGAGCTCCCTATTCATCTGCAGAACCCAAATGTAGTGCTCAATACATTAAGGAATTATAAGGAATCAGCTCCACTGTATGTCCCCATCGAGTTCCCCTACACTTGTTAATTCTGCCCCGCAAACCGAAGTAGGGTAGTAAGCCCTCACATGAAGTCTTCCCAGGGCTGATATCATCAAAGTTTCTCTGAGAGGTTAGGGATTAGGATACTACTACTAGTATTCTAATAATAATATGGTGGTCCTAACGATGCCAGTAGTATTCCCCATTCTGAGTATGAGGAAACAGGCTCAGAGTTGAATGACTTGCCTTGGCTGTATGACTAGAGATATCAGAATCTAGATCTTTGAACTCGGAGGTTCAGAGCTCCTTCAGCTACTCTCCAGCTGTTTTAGTTTTTAAATTTAATGTATCACATCCTGCATGTAGGCTAGGTATTGCCATCTTCGTTTTTCTGAATAGGAAATCTAAGTTCCTGGTATGAAAACAACTTGCCCCTAGTCTACGTAGCTAGGAATGTTAGAGCAGACTATGGGCCTAGCTCTGTATGACTCCAAGGCTCGTGCTTTTTTGTACATGCTGCTTCTCCCTCAGTATGGAGGGTTTAGGCTGAGAGCAAATGGGCCAAGAAAGGAGGGATAACTGGGGAAGTGAGAACCAAAGCTAACCTAGCCCTTGTGCCACCCATCCCGTTCCTTCCCACCGCAGGCTGTGGGAACAGTGCCCTGAGCTACGAGCTGTTCCTTGGAGGCTTCCCTGATGTGACCAGTGTGGACTACTCATCAGTAGTGGTGGCTGCGATGCAGGCTCAATATGCGCATGTGCCCACACTGCGCTGGGAGACCATGGATGTGCGGGCACTGGACTTCCCCAGTGGCTCCTTCGAAGTGGTGCTCGAGAAGGGCATGCTGGATGCCCTGTTAGCTGGAGAACAGGATCCCTGGAATGTGTCTTCTGAAGGTGTCCACACCGTGGACCAGGTGCTAAGTGAGGTGAGGGAGCAACAAGGAGGGCAGACCGAGAGGTGGGAAGGAAGGGATTGGGGTTTCGGGAGATTGGAAGAACTCAAAAGCCGGAAGGAGGCATAGTTTGGAGCAGGTGGTGGGTCACCTTCAGGACCGCAGTTACCTGAAGGAGGGGGTGGTTAAGCTGGGTCAAGATCATAGGGGGCTGGAGTGGCCAGGCTCACAGATATAGATGATTGGCTACTGGGTTGTCACGGGGATGAGGTAGCAGCCAGGTTCCAGATAGGTAACACAGACTAGGAGAGTGAGTAGTTGACAGGAAAGCAGTGCCCCTGCACCTAACCTCATTCCCATGCTCCTGCCTGGGTAGAATATAGCCCTACTCCATTGACTAGGAATTGACTAGGAGCAGAGAGGAGGCTCACTCTTGCCATAGAGAGCCCTGAGCTATGGCATGTAGGGTGGTACCTGCGAGGATATCTGGGGCCATACTGACCTTTGAGAACCTGGCGACGGACTCCTCACCAGTGACTTCTCTGTCTGCCTTGCAGGTGAGCCGGGTGCTGGTCCATGGAGGCCGTTTCATCTCATTGACCTCAGCTGCTCCCCACTTTCGGATCAGACACTATGCCCAAGCCCGATATGGCTGGTCCCTGAGGCATGCAACCTATGGCAACGGTTTCCACTTCCATCTTTACATCATGCAGAAGGGCAGAGAGCTCACTATAGCCCAGCTGGCTGTTGGGACCCAGGTCCTCTCACCACCTAGACCTCCCACCACACCTTGCTTCCTCCGGGACTCAGATCACGAGGACTTCCTCAATGCCATTCAGCTGTGAGGCCAGAGGCATGGTCCTCTGGCCCTCCCTGTCTTTCTGCCCTGGATTCTTCAAGTACTTGTAATTCCTGACTCAGGGCTTAGGGTTTGATTCAAGGTGTTCACAGTCCCAGAGGGCTCATGCCTAAGATAGAGCTGATGGGAGCAACCCCACATGAAACAATACAGCCCAGGTCAAACTAGATCCCAGATCCCAGGTTTCTGGTTTCCTTCTTAGGTTCCTCAGATTTTCCCTGGATTCCCCAACTTCCTCCCTTACCGTACTGAATCACCAGTGATTCATCCCCTAGGGCAAAGCTCAGCACAACCCCTCCACATGCCAGCCAGACTCCGAGACCTGCATCCCTGGGGCCTATTATTGACCCCCGTTCAACTTGGATTTATCCAAAGGAGGCTGCAGACTTGGAATCAAGATTGCTTTATGCTTCTGATTCCAGCTTCAGCTCCAACTCTAGTCTCCTATCCTGCTTGGATTGTATATTTACCCAAGGAAGCTACATTGCAATGAACTTCTCAGACCAGGCTGGCCTGCCTGTTTACTTGGCAACCCTTCCCTGCCAGCAACATGCACCTGAGACTCCCAAGTCTCTGCCCCCTCCCCAGAAGGGGTTGGAGCCATTTTAGCCCGGCTCCTGAGCAGACCAAAGCAGTGGTCACACACACGCAGGGAGGTCTGTGTTTATTCACACACTCCTGGTACAGTGAGGATGGAGGAACATTTACAAAGGACACCCCTGGGTTGAAAACATCTCCAGGGCCACGGATGTCATCCAAAGGTGCCGAGCAGTCCTCACTTGGGTTCCCAGGGGCAGGATGCAGGGGTCCAAGGTAAAATCAGACCTGGGCCCTTGGGAGGTGATACCTTGAGAGGAGGGGTCTGCCAGAGAGTCGCCTGGGGTCAGGCCTGAGCAGACTGACCATGTGGTTGGTTACCATGTTGGGGGCTCGTTCCATCTCAGACTCAACACCCATCCTATCTGCCAGGCGCAGAAGAGCGTGGCCGAGACTTGGGGGGGGAGGGAGGGAGGCACGAACCATGAGGGGAGCCAGTAAACAAAGAGTCGGATATAAAAATACAAATGTGCTGAGGAAGTCCCTTAGAAAGAGGCTGAGGCTGGGGTCACGCCAGACAGGGGTGGGAGTGAGGGAGCGGCCTGGAGGGCTGGGCTCAGGTGGGTGGGAAGCTCATGCAAATACGCAGCCACACATCCCTGGCTGCGCGCGCGGTTCGACACGGGCCGGCAGCCGGCTCTGCAGACCAGACCGGCCGAGAGGGGCGGGGCAGGGGAGCCGTGCGGGAGGGGGCGGGTCGGGGGCTGAGGGCCGCGGGTCTCTGTGTCCGTTCCGGTGTGCGGGGTGGGGCTGCGGCCCGAGGTTCTAAAGTGCATGAGCGCGGCGGCGGGCTCCGGGCCGGTCCGCGCCGCCGCTACCGCCGCCGCCGTGGTGCTGAAGCGGACAGCTCCGGAGTGCCAGGCGGCGGCGGCAGCGACTCCAACCCGAAGGCGGCGCGGCCCTGCAGCCCCCGCCCGCGGGCGCCTGGGCCGGGGCGGGGGGCGCCGGCAGCCGCATAGCCGGCCCGCGCTCCTGGCCGCTGCGGGGCTGGGCCCGGAGCCCGCCGCCCGAGCCGGCGCGTCTACACTCCGGACGGCGGCTTCTCCCCCATCCCCTTCAGCACGTCGTCTATCCGGTCATCCTCGATCACCACTGCGCAGGGAGAAAGCGCGTCAGCCGCGCGGCCTCAGGGGGCGGCGGCGGCGAGAATGGGCCCCGCGTCCTCGCGCCCCGAACAGCTACTTTCCGTGGCCCAGTGACGCCCCTCGGACGCCAGTGCCACAGTGCCCTCCCCATCCGAATTCTGCCGACTGGACCCACCGCCGAGCCTAGCTCCCACAGGCCCTCCTCCCCTCCCTACGGAGGAACGCCCCCTGTTCCAACCAGCAGTTCAACCTCCCAGTCCAAACCCTCCCGCCGCCTGAGCTCTCTTCCATCCAAGCTGATCATCCTTTTGCTCGTGGGAGCCCCCTCTTCAACAGACCCCCCCTTCTCAAACAGAATCTTCACCTAGTCCAACTCTCTCCCCACCCTAACCCTCTCGCCGCTTGAACCCCTCTTCCGATGCTGGCACCAACAGAGTCCCCTCCCCATGCAAACAACGAGGACAACCGAATCCCTGGCCCCCTGTCCTCTCTCCAATCGGACGTCCCTTCCCACCCGAAGGTTCTTCTGAAGCATCCACCGACTCAGCGTTTGATCCCGAAGAAGCGGCCGGTCGCCCCACGTTCCCACTTCAGGCAGCCCCAAATGCCCCGGCCGGCCCCTCCCCCTTGCCCGGGTGTCAGGGCTCTACTTTCAGAGGTGGCGAGCATCGAATCCGGGGCACTGCGTTCCCGGGAGAGGGGAAGAGAGGGACACAAGACTGCAGCGGGGGCATTCCCCCCCCCAAACCCCGGCCGGCGAGCGGCTGGCTGCGCTGGTCTGCGGCAAGAGCTGCGGGCGCTCGGCGGGGAACGGCAGCCTGGGGGCGCCCGGCGAAGGGTTTCTGGGTCAAGCGGCGACTCCGGGCCCCGGCCGCATACCTCTCTTGGCTCGGCCAATCTGGCCCAGCTTGGGGGGTCGCTTGGCTTGGTTGCCCGCGAAGAAGGAGTTGGTGTCCTGCAGGCGGCAACTGAAGGAGAGGTCGGAGCTCTCGGGGTCGGCGGCGAAGCGGCCCATCTTGTCCTCACTGTAGGGCAGGATCTCGGACATGGCGGGCGCGGGGTGGGCGCGGGATTGCGGCGGGGCGCGGGCGGCGGGCTAGCTGCCGGACCGGCCCTAGCTCAGCAGGGGAGCCGGCGGAAGGATGAAGTCATGCAGCATCCGGGGCTGCCGAGCCAAGCGGGGCCTCCTCCCCCGCGCCTCCGCCTCCCGGGCCGCTGGGCAGGCGGCGGCGGCGGCGGCGGAGGTGGTGATGGGGACCGGGCGGGGGCGGTGCGCGGGGGGCGGGGGTGGCGGCGGCGGCAAGAGCGGAATGACGATGAGCGCCCGACTGCCGCAGAGCGCGGCAGGCGGGGCGCGGTGGAGGTGGAGCGGGCATCGGCCGGGGGAGAGAGGCGGGGCGGGGGAGGGGGCGGGCAACAGGAGCGCGCCCAGCACTCAACCGAGGGCTGGGAGCGTTAGTGGGAGGGTCCTGCACTAGGCGGGAGAGGCGGCTGGACGAATTGTACGGGCCAACGGGTGCAGGATCTGGCTGGGAGAGGCGGGACTGAGGGGTGGGGCGGGGGACGGGAGGGAGACCGGCCCCCGAGGGGCGGGAGGAGGGTCAGGCAAGGAGGCTCTTAGAGGCGAGGAAGGGGAACTGGGAATTGGGGGGCGGGGCGGGGCCAGAAGCCTGGAGTCTGGACAGCATTCCAAAGGGGGGACTCCGGAAATAAGCTGGGGGGGGGGGAAGGTCCCATACCGGTTAGGTGTGCTGGACTGTGCGAACCCGCCGACGCGAGAATAGCTCAGGCGGGTGGGTGGTGTCACCGCGGTTGGCGCGTTTGTGTCGGATTGGTCTTTGGGTCTTAACTGTTTATCTGGAGTGTTTCTTTGACTGCCGGTCTGTGTCTGTGTCTGCCTATCTATGTATCAGTCTATCTCTCTGTGTCTGTATCTGTTTCTGCGCCCCGTATCTCTTTGTGTCACAGTCTCTGTCTACTTCTGTTTCTTAGGAGTGTCTCTACCTTTCTGTATGTCTCCATGCTTGGCCCCCGTACCTACGCGCCACTGTAACCATCTCCTGAGTCTGTGTATTTCGGTCTCTCCTAGGAGGAATCTCGGTAACTGGGCCGACGCGCGCGCACCAGGGCAGACCCCCCACCCCTGCTGCTGGCGCCGAAACTCGAGCTCAAAGCGCCTCCAGTGCACCGCAGTTCTCCTGGCCCTGGAGGTTCCGGCTGCGCGCGCCGTATAGGAGGAATGAATGGAGGCGTCGCGGGGGGCGCCCTGGCTGCAGGTGACGCGGGGGAAGCCGTGAGCGCCTGAGGACGCGGCGCGCGCCCGTGGGTATCCGGAGGTAGAAGACGAGGGACAGAGGGTACGCCCGCCCGCGTTGTGGGGGGTCACGTGACAGTTCCCGCTGCATAGACGGGAAAGGTTCTCTCCTACCCGCAGCGGGCCGTCTGCAGCCGCGTCACCTGCTTGCTAGCGCGCAGGGGCTCTGGCGCAATCACTGGCCTTGGGGGTGGGGGGAGGTCCCACACTTGGCGTAGCTGACGACAGCAACGATTAGGGTAATAAGCCTCCCGTACATTCAGTCTATACCCGAGGCTGAGGGGGTCTCCACTGTCCCTGAAGCGCTTTACCTCCTTCCCTTCAAATCACACAGTTAGTGAAGTTGCCTGGTGCTGGGTCTCCTTCCTCCAACTCCTCACCAAGTGTTAGTCCCAGGGATGCAGAGGCTAATGCCATGGTGGCTGCCCTCAGGGACCAGGATTGGCGACGGGAGTAGTGCCAGAGAATACGACTGTGTAAGATTCACTCAAGGCCTCAGACCTAGAGGCCCATCCCTATCAAGTCCTCCCCAGCTGCATCCTGCCCTCTGGGATGAGGGCCAAACCTGGAGACCCAGCTGGAATGAAAGGAGCCCTGAGATCTGGAGGGACAAGAGATGCTGAAGCTCAGGGTCACTAGGAGAGAGTCCAGAAAATTCTACCCCCACTAGAGGTTGTCTAGAAATGGGTTCCAATCCTGGCTCTGCCACTTTCTGTATGACCTTGAACTGAAGGCCCCATAATTATAGTTTTAAAAAGTACATTCATTTTGGGGTGCCTGGCTGGTTCAGTCAGTGGAGTGTGCCGCTCTTGATCTTGGGGTTGTAGGTTCAAGCCCCACTTTGGGTGTAGAGATTACTTAAAAATAAAATCTTAAAAAACAATTCGTTCACGTTCACTTGTAACATTTTAGGAAAATACAGAAACTTGCATGAAACCTTTGACAGATATCCCTCCAAGCTTTTCCTCATCCGTTTGCATAATATGCATACCTCTCTGAGCCTCCATTTTCTAGTCTGAAGCATTAGAGATGATAGAACCTACATTAAGGACAGTTTTGTA